ATGAAGCAATTTGAATGAATTTTTTTTTATCATCTATTTTTGAATTATTATAGCAAGAATGACCAACTCTTTATTAAACTCTTAACTAATGTATCTTTAATTGACAATAAATGAAAGTTGTTTCAGTAGATTGGGCTGCGTATGTGTAATAAGATCTAATAGAATAAAATTAACTTATATTTTAGCTGTTACATGCATTAATAAAGAAATTAAGTTTGCCAGGTGACACTACAGGCACCCAATCGTAGCTAAACAAAAGGACACGCCAGTATATCTCAAAGTCTTTAGCCACGTTCTCGTAGCTAGGGTCTATTCACTCCCCCTTTCCATGGCCATTATCGTTGTTTTTGTGTAGACCGGGAATTTCGCCCGGACATCGGAGCGACGGCCCACTCTTTATTTTGAATTCAATAATAAACTTCAGGTTTAGAACTGAACTGTCGTAGACAAAGCTAATGTCCAGAACACAGAGACAGGTGTGCGTGCTGAATCGACCAATAAATAACAAATGTGGTTTGAAATTAGAAGACAACTCATTTCAATTTAAATATATTTATAAACATTTCCGAATCATTTTACATCATGAACGTATATTTTAGGATTGTTTTGATTGGTTTTTTTTCTATATTCTTATATTAATTCACCGGGATGTCCGTGTCACATTGTGTGCCTACCAGAACGTTCGGGGTCAACTTTTTTAATCGAATCTGCTGTCTTCGTCGCTTCTGCTGTCGCTGTCTTCATCACTACGACTGTCGCTACCACGGCTGGCATTGCGTTTTTCCCTTTCGTCGCTTTCGCTATCACTGTCCTCATCGCTATCTTCATCGCTACGACTGTCGCTACCATGGCTGGCGTTGCGTTTTTCCCTTTCGTCGCTTTCGCTATCGCTGTCTTCTTCACTACGACTGTCGCTGTCTTCGTCGCTACGACTGTTGCTGTCTGGGCTGGCACTACGTTTTTCCCTTTCGTCGCTTTCGCTATCGCTGTCTTCGTCGCTTCTGCTGTCACTATCTTCATCGCTACGACTGTTGCTGTCTGGGCTGGCACTACGTTTTTCCCTTTCGTCGCTTTCGCTATCGCTGTCTTCGTCGCTTCTGCTGTCACTATCTTCATCGCTACGACTGTTGCTGTCTGGGCTGGCACTACGTTTTTCCCTTTCGTCGCTTTCGCTATCGCTGTCTTCGTCGCTTCTGCTGTCACTATCTTCATCGCTACGACTGTTGCTGTCTGGGCTGGCATTACGTTTCGTCCTTTCTATCAGAGAGTCAATCTCCTTGTAGTTCGATGGTAAAGCCAGCGTCACTGCTAAAAGAGTCCCAAAAAGCGCGAGAAGCAATAACTTGGAAGCGGCCATAGTTGAATCCTCTAGAAGACTTCTCTACGACAAGTACGTTAAATCCAGAGAACTTCTTCTGTTACAAGATCCGTGGGAACTATGTGATAAGCGTGTAGGAAAATTTGAGCTTTTATAGACCATCACCTCGTTTGATTCGTGTCACTAAATGGCTACTTAAGAATAATGTCTCTTTTTTACAACGTGATATTCGTCGATTTAAAGTGACAAATCAAAAAAACACATAAGGTCCTTAAATAAATTCTGACAACTCTAGCAAAACTTCAAACACTATTCTAGAAAAACTGAATTCCAATCAATAACTAAAATCACGATTTCGTTTAAATGTCACATGAACATGCCTCGATATGGCCCAATAAATAACAAAACGGCCATATTGGTGACATGCCAGTCTCTTTTCAATTTGTTTATTTAAAATGTAACCGTCTTGGTTTAAAGAGAAAGAGAGGCATTATACAAGAGTTAAATCTGCAAATTGCAAGTATTGCCTTTGGCTTCAAATGTTATATACATGTATATAAATGGTTATAATATACGTTCCAATTGACGAATCGTGATGCAAGTTTGACATATTCCATTATTATTGTGTTTTTACTACCATTGTAAGTGTTTTTTTAATACATAATTTGATGAACGAGACTAAAGATGTGTAGACTGGAATAAGCAGACACAAAATACTTCAATTCAATTAGGACTGCTCACTTAATTAGATATTGATCTTTTAGAGGCATTTAGTAACTGGATAGAGCTATAACACATACTTATGGAAGAACAATTACTGATTTATTTGGGCGACGTTTCGAAGAGTATTCTCTCAACGTTATCAAGCAAATGAAATGAAATGAAATGAAATGGGGTTTAACGTCCTACTGTTTTGCTCCTAAACTGGGCTAATGAAGACGGGCATACGGCATACAGTGTGCTATGAGGGAAATTTTGCCCGGGCAGTGGCACTATCGCCTACTCTTATATCGAATTCCAACTTCCAAAGGATCTTTTACGTGCATTCCAATGTATACACGGGACCTCGGTTTTTCGTCCCATCCGAAGGACTAGACAGCTGTCCTTGCCAGGCCCTTGCTTGAAAACGTTGAGAGAATACTCTTCGAAACGTCGCCCAAATAAATCAGTAATTGTTCTTCCATAAGTATGTGTTATAGTTTATTAATTAGATATTACAGTATAAACCTATAAACAATTGACTGAAAATCGTTTTTGTATTTACATCCGTATGATATATGTATTTCGCCGTTATCCCAAATAAATCGCCCAAATAAATCAGTAATTGTTCTTCCATAAGTATGTGTTATAGTTTATTAATTAGATATTACAGTATAAACCTATAAACAATTGACTGAAAATCGTTTTTGTATTTACATCCGTATGATATATGTATTTCGCCGTTATCCCCCCCCCCGCACCCCCACACCGCTATTGTACTTATGCTAGGAGCAGTCAAGCATGGGGGTTATCAAATACAAAAGGATTAAAACTATAATCCACTTTACTGAAATGAGAGAGAGAGAGAGAGAGAGAGAGGAGAGAGAGTGAGATGGGGTTTAACGTCCACTCGACACAAACTAGGTCAGTTCGAGACTAACACATGGTTGAATTTCATTCTTTTAGCAGTGGCAGGAAACCGGAGGATCCGGAGAAAACCCACGAGGATGGACAGACGACCCTACGCCTTGTCACGTACAACCGGGGATTCGAAACCACGCCAGTTGACTTAATGACAGACCTTATGATAGAGTGCGCACGTGCTAACCATTCGGCCACCCCCTTCACAGAAATACTAAAAACAAATCATAATGATGATCATGTTGTATGTGGCCGGTGGCTTTAACGGACCGCCACGCCATCACTGGAGTCTGGAATGGGCTGGTATAATAGACTTTCTGGGCCGAGTGTGCTGGGAATGGGGATTCCGAATTTCATCCGAAAATTTCATCGGATTCACCCGACACTGTCGGCTGCAAATTTACTAATTATTAAGTCACCTGCACCCTGTTTGTGGGGATGCGCCAGAAACGTCTGCCGATGGTTCGTAACTCCAAAAAAATATTCAAATTTAAGGCCTAAGCAAAATTTGACGATTTCCTGAGGCTGGTGTTAAACATTCCTTGACATTTTTATTAACTCGTTATTTTCAGAGATGAAATTACAGAATTGGGTTGTCGGGAATGGTCTCAAATTGCGGGAGTATTATGAGATATATTATTTGACAGAGATTATAATCAACTATGCCACCAAATCGCATATTTGGGGTTCATTTTTCAAAATTTTCCAGGGGGAGAGGCCCCGGACCCCCCGTGCTGGCTTCGCGGTCAGTAAAAGGGACTGCTCCGACACGGGAGCGCGGGCCGGTTCCCTGCCCCAATCCGCCCCAGACCACATCGGGTATGTCCTAAAGCGATAAAGAAACCAAATATCAGACATAACAACAATATAACAACATTTATTTAAAAATACATTATGCAAGAGCTAAATCTGCTTACTGCAGGTCTTTCTTTAGGCTTGGCATGTTATATAAACTATTAATTAGACATATATTAACAAGAAAAGACCATAATCAACTCTGGATGCAATCTTATATGTCGGATTTTCACTGGATTTGAATCCGATATGCTGCTCAGCGCTCATTGATGATTAAATCCAAAAATGGATAATCGAGACTATGTTTTATATCGTACCGACTTTAGCAATGATGATCGAGGCTAGGCTTAAAATTCAATCGCTAATATCTCGGTTCAGTGTGGAGCAATTTGACGGAAATTTTCAACATATCCCCTTTACATTATATAGTTGTTCACTTTTATAGTGAAAACTGCCTACATTTTATCTAATCTGCCATAATGACCATTTAAATTTAAATAATTTATAAACCTTCTCTGGTCATAATACATCATAAATGTTCAAGATATCAAATAATATTATTTGTTTTGGCGTTTCCTGTATTATTCTACCCATAGTTGTATCCGTGACACAATCCGTGTCTACCAGTACGCTATTCTTCTTATGCCCGTCTTCTTGTGTCGACGTCTTTCGTTGCTTCCACGGTTGCCGTCTTCGTTGCTTCTACTGTTGCTGTATTCATCGCTTCTGCTGTTGTTGTCTTCGTCGCTTCTGCTGTTGCTTCTGCTATTGCCTCTGCTGGTACTGTCTTCGTCGCTTCTGCTATTGCTTCGGCTATTACTTTCTTCGTCGCTTCTGCTGTTGCTGCCTTCGTCGTTTCTGCTGTTGCTGCCTTCGTCGCTTCTGCTGTTGCTATTGCTGTTGCTGTCTTCGTCCCTATTTCTGTTTCTATAATGACGACTAAAACGTCTATAATGATAATGACGGCCAAAACATCTTCTATGGCGTTTTTCGTCCCTTCTGCTGTGACTGTCTTCGTCGCTTCTGCTGTTGCTGTCTTCGTCGCTTCTGCTGTTGCTGTCTTCGTCGCTTCTGCTGTTGCTGTTTTCGTCGCTTCTGCTGTTGCTGTCTTCATCGCTTCTGCTGTTGCTTCTGCTGTTGCTGTCTTCGTCGTTTCTGCTGTTGCTGTCTTCGTCACTTCTGCTGTTGCTGTCTTCGTCGCTTCTGCTGTTGCTCTCTTCGTTGCTTCTGCTGTTGCTGTCTTTGTCGCTTCTGTTGTTGCTGCCACTGTCTTCGTCGCTTCTGCTGTTGCTGTTGCTGTCTCGGTCTTCGTCGCTTTTGCTGTTGCTTCTGCTGTCACTGTCTTCGTCGCTTCTGCTGTTGCTGTTTTCGTCGCTTCTGCTGTTGCTGTCTTCGTCGCTTCTACTGTTGCTGTTTTCGTCGCTTCTGCGATTGCTTCTGCTGCTGCTGTCTTCGCCCCCTTTGATGTTTTTGTTGATGTCTTTATTGCTTTTGCTGTTGCTGTTGATATTTTTCTTGCTTATGCTGCTAATGGAACTGGTACTACTTTTTTCGCTGTCGTCCCTTCTGCTGTTTTCATTGCTTCTGCTGTTGCTGTCTTCGTCGCTTCTGCTGTTGCTGTCTTCGTCGCTTCTGCTGTTGCTTCTGCTGTTGCTGTCTTCGTCGCTTCTGCTGTTGCTGTTTTCGTCGCTTCTGCTGTTGCTGTCTTCATCGCTTCTGCTGTTGCTTCTGCTGTTGCTGTCTTCGTCGTTTCTGCTGTTGCTGTCTTCGTCACTTCTGCTGTCTCGGTCTTCGTCGCTTTTGCTGTGGCTTCTGCTGTCACTGTCTTCGTCGCTTCTGCTGTTGCTGTTTTCGTCGCTTCTGCTGTTGCTGTCTTCGTCGCTTCTACTGTTGCTGTTTTCGTCGCTTCTGCGATTGCTTCTGCTGCTGCTGTCTTCGCCCCCTTTGCTGTTTTTGTTGATGTCTTTATTGCTTTTGCTGTTGCTGTTGATATCTTTCTTGCTTATGCTGCTAATGGAACTGGTACTACTTTTTTCGCTGTCGTCCCTACTGCTGTTTTCATTGCTTCTGCTGTTTTCATATCTTTTGTTGTCGCTGTCTGGGCTGGAACTACGTTTTGCTTTTTCTATCAGAGAGTCAATCTTTTTAAAGTTCGATGGTCGAGCCAGCGTCACTGCTAAAATAGTCCCGAAAAGCGCGAGAAGTAATAACTTACAAGCGGCCATAGTTGAATCCTCTAGAAGACTTCTCTACGTCTAGTATGTTAAATCCAGAGAATGCACAAAGAAATAAGATCACCTCCAACGACTCAGGGAGCTTTGTGATAAACGTGTAGGAATATTGATTCTTTTATACTATTTCGTTTTCGTCATATTCACGTCATAAGATTTTAATAAATGGTTATTTATGCATACTAAATGTTATTTCAAACGAGATATGCGTCCATTTAAAGTAACACATCCATATCTTCAAGACCACCTGACAAGTGGTCATTTTCTGGAGAAAATGATTTCCAATAAATCACGTAAAGATCTTCAACATCAACTGACAAGTGTCTCAAAACGTCAAACACTCTTCTGAAAAAATGATTTCCAATATATCACGCTTTGATTTAAAACGTGTCCTGTCATAAATATCAAATAACCCCGACTTTGTATAGCTGTATGAATAATAAAACGGTCAATTGGTCATAGTTCATTGTCTCCATTTAAAATCTAACTAACTGACCGGTCGCGTTACTTCTATTGCGTCATTCTTGTAAATTGAAGCTTGTGTCATTTCAGGCCCGGGAGTGTATGGCTGGCACCAGGATCCATTAAATCCAGGCAGTAAAAAAGGGAAGTAAAAACAAACTGTGCATCAAAGAAAGCTGGCATGTCTATCATTTCTCGGTATTGGGAATACATGTTGGTGTTAAGCTGTACAAATTATGATAGCAAACTTCACGAGATAAAAAAATACCTATGCCGATCTGGTCAAAGCGTAATCAATATACTGACGGAGGGCCTGATAAGGACAGCTGTCTAGTCGTTAGGATGTGACGAAAAACCGAGGTTCCGTGTACACATTGGCGTGCACGTAAAAGATCCCTTGGCAGTTGGAATTCGATATAAGAGTAGGCCCGCTGCCCGGGCAAAATTTCCCTCATGGCACACTGTATGGAGTATGCCCGTCTTCATTAACCCAGTTCGGAGCAGAACAGTAGGACGTTAAAACCCATTTCATTTCATTTCATTTTGTAATTTTACTGTGTAATCTTTACTGTGTAATCTTTATTTTTACCCAAACTGACGCATATTTTCAGTGGTCTTTAGCGAAAGAAAGTTTACCAAAATCGGGTTCGAAAGGGGTTAGAGGGTATGGTCTACCTAAAATCACAAATGTCTCTAATACTATAGGCTGTAGACACAATAAATGCATTACGGACACATATGCGGTCTTTGTACGTGACAAGGAGTAGGGTCGTCCAACCTCGTGGGTTTTCTCCAGGTCCTCCGGTTTCCTCCCTCTGCTAAAGACCCCTACGCGCAAGCGAATTATTGAAATAGAATTGAACCTTGTGTTAGTCCCAAAATGACCTAGTTTGTGTCGATTGGACGTTAAACCCCATTTCTTTCTTTCTCTTTCTGTCTGTGTAGAAAATTGAAAGAGTGAATGTAAATGGACGGTACGAGAGAGACCCAAGTTTATCACAGGCACTTTATCACCCAAAATCGTTTGACCAATTCGTCTATAACAGGGTCAATACATCATTTTGCACGTCATAATATTGTTGTTTACTCAGCAGATTGGGGAGTGGATCAATAGCCTGAATATAGCCAGTGTATACATTTTATTCACGATGCATACAAATCAGTTCATTCCAATGTCAGGTTTTTGAAATATAATTTTAAGGAATTTGGATTGGTATACGGATAAATGTATTTTAAGCCTATAATTTACTGATTTCAGGTTTTCGACACTTTTGTATACGCCCACGTTTCGGATATTGTCTACGCACCCGTCCACCCGTCCGGTGTCCACGTTTTGGAAGCTAAACAATTAAGGTCATGAGGCGAAGAAAACTATTGATTTTCAATGATTTCTGATAATTACTGTCAGATTTATGGTCCTTGATATTTAATGCTTGGCGTACTAAACGTTAGAATAGGGCAGAACTAGAAGTGAAGCAAGTCTGACAATTACTTTATGGCTTATTATGTCGATTTTAGTGTGTTGTAAATGTTTTCCTTGCCGATAAAAGAAAAAAAACATATGCGACACCTTTTGTTGACTGCACGGACAAATTAGCTGTTGTGTGCGTATGTTTCATTGCCTGGCAATCTATCTATAAAATCCACAACAGGCCAATGGATAATGTAATATTCATTTGGTGTGAATGAAGTATGCTGCATTGACTGGAATACGTTTTACATTCACGATTCGTCAGCCACAGAATAAACTAACCATATGCGAAAAAAAAATTAACATGTGCGATGATGTGCAAATGGTATTTTAGTTAGAATAGACATCCAACAGAAAAGGATAAAATTATCTAAAAAAAAAGGGCCAAATAGAAATTTATCCTAGTTCGCTATGTTTTGCGTATTTTTTCCTTATACTATTGGATGAGTTTTTTTGGTAATGATACTTTTTCACAATCCACATTGAAAAAAAATATATTTATCTGTTTTAATTAACACGGTGTTTCTTGTTATTTCTTATACAGTTCAAGCATGAAAATGCATGATCTGTTTTCCACAATACCCGGGTTAGTATGTTGGGGTGTACAGTGTAGGATAAAGCACGAGGCTGAGGTTATTCTGGGCACAGAAAAACTGAAAACAATAACCCAAGAATCGATAGTTTTTGTCTGAAGTGTTTCTTCCCCAATATAACCGTAGTCGACGACTTTATCTTGCTTATAAACCGTCTATGTTCACATATTTGTAAAATGAGAATATCCCAGAATTCAAGTCAGAAAAACCTTATATCATGTTTTCTTATGGGAAAAAAATACCTACCTTGGAAGAATAACCCGATACAGGTTGAAAGAAAAATTTTCGGAAGAAAACCCCCAAATTCCTTTGTATATATCCCCCTCCCGATTGTCAGACCGCAAATTATTCCGAGCATAGAATATACCCCAAAGATCAAAGAGATTTACCATTATCGGTTTATAATTCTATATGAACACATATTTTTCCTTAAATAATCACCTGTGCACGTACTAAAACAACACATTACAGGTTGATCAGTAACTTGAACACCCGAGTCAGAGAACAAAGGATCCAGTGTGTAAGGACAGAAAAGAAATCCATATTAAAAGATTTAAATGGTATAAATTATAAATCAATCTATACTAGAAAGCGGTCGACAATTTTAAAAATAAAAACAACCCCAGAAAAACGCAACAATTTAGCCTATTGAATTTTTAAAAGTTTTATATGTCAAAACATATTGAGTAATAAAGGGAGAAAAATCTATTTATGATAAGTTCAATTATTGTCACTCCAGTGGGAAATCAGAAAAATATATCTTGACTTTAGTGTCCTTTCAGTCAAAATTTATGGATATCTGTCAAAATCTGGGTTAATAAAAACACAAATATTAAAGTATTAGTCAGTACTCAAGGCTTCCAGTTCATACCCACTGTCTCTCTAGTTGTTTATATCATCCTTCTATTTGTTTATAAATATTGTCTCTCTAGCTGTTTATATTGTTTTTCACAGTTGTGTATATTGTCTTTCTAGTTGTTTATATTGTCTCCCTAGCTGTTTATATTGTGTTTCACAGTTGTGTATATTGTCTTTCTAGTTGTTTATATTATCTCTCTAGTTGTTTATATCACCCTTCTATTTGTTTATATTGTCTCTCTAGCTGTTTATATTGTTTTTCACAGTTGTGTATATTGTCTTTCTAGTTGTTTATATTGTCCCCCTAGCTGTTTATATTGTTTTTCACAGTTGTGTATATTGTCTTTCTAGTTGTTTATATTGTCTCTCTAGTTGTGTATATCATCCTTCTATTTGTTTATATTGTCTCCCTAGCTGTTTATATTGTTTTTAACAGTCGTGTATATTGTCTTTCTAGTTGTTTATATTGTTTTTCACAGTTGTTTATATTGTCTCTCTAATTGTTTATATTGTCTCTCTAGTTGTTTCTATGGTCTCTCTAGTTGTTTATATTGTTGCTCTAGTTGTTTATATTGGCTTTCTAGTTGATTCTATTATTTCCCTAGAGTTGCATTGCCTCCCCAGTTGCTTATAGTATTTTTCTGAATTCCACAACAATTCATTGCTCGATTTAGTTCTCTTGTGTATATTGTCTTTCTAGTTGTTTATATTGTCTACCTAGCTGTTTATATTGTTTTTCACAGTTGTGTATATTGTCTTTCTAGTTGTTTATATTGTCTCTCTAATTGTGTATATCATCCTTCTATTTGTTTATATTGTCTCCCTAGCTGTTTATATTGTTTTTAACAGTCGTGTATATTGTCTTTCTAGTTGTTTATATTGTTTTTCACAGTTGTTTATATTGTCTCTCTAATTGTTTATATTGTCTCTCTAGTTGTTTCTATGGTCTCTCTAGTTGTTTATATTGTTGCTCTAGTTGTTTATATTGGCTTTCTAGTTGATTCTATTATTTCCCTAGAGTTGCATTGCCTCCCCAGTTGCTTATAGTATTTTTCTGAATTCCACAACAATTCATTGCTCGATTTAGTTCTCTTAAAGGCTAGAGTCCGTGTTTCAAAAGGGGTCCAGAAGAATATTATTTTGCTCCTTTATTTTCTACTTTCGGGAAATTTCCCGATATCCCACTGGCAAAATTGTAAGCGGTTCAAAAGTGCGAAAGGGCACCCCCGGGATTATCCCAGTAT